GGTCGGAACCTTGAGCAAAAGAGTTGCGCCCGGAGTCTCTTCGAAAGCCCCCTCTAAATTGCGCGGCCGTCTGATCCGTGGCGGTTACAACAACAACAACAACTACTACTACTACTACTACTACTACTAGTTACTAGTTACTACTACTAGTTACTAGTTACTAATTACTAGTACTACTACTACTACTACTACTACTACTATTACTACTACTACTACTACTACTACTACTACTACTACTACTACTAACTTACTAACCATTACTACTATTGACTATGTGCTGTTACTTATCAGTACTTACTACTTACTACTACCACTACTACTACTAACTGCTGCTAGCTGCTAGCCTGCTAGCTGCTAAGCTGCTAAAATGCTAAAACTTTCTAACTGTAACTACTACAACTATTCAACTATTCTAACTGATTCACTTCCAAAGGCTGGCACTTGCATGCAGGCTTTGTCTCTGGCAGCCTGGCATTGCAACCGTGGCACGAAGCAGCAAGATCACTTCTAACCGGCCATGACTGACTTAAAGTAGAGTCTGTACTGTACAGGCTCCCGACGAGCGTGGCAGTGGCAAGGATCAAATCATACCCGCCCGCTATCGGCATTCCAAGGAGATCCATATCTCGAAAATCATCCGGGTTGGCCTCACCGTCCGCGTCTCTGGCATTCCGCCCGCAGCACAAAACAACAAGAGCATCTGTAACCCGCTCTCACTAAAAGCTTTGCACATGCTTTGCTCGAACGCCTGGGCTTGGATTCCGGCGACCGTTGCAGTGGCAAGGATCTAACTGTGGCACTCGTCTCATCAGGGTCCACTAACGGCATTCCAAAGATATCAGTGTCCCCAAACTCGTCTGGCTCGGCCTGACCGCCCACTGGGTGCACTGTCGGCGTGCCAAGGAGAGCAAACCCAAAATCATCCGGGTCGGCCAACAGAGTCGGCTCGGGAGACTCTGCAGGCATCTCCGAATGGGAGGGCAACGTTGCAGTTTCAGCATGTCGTCGTCGTAAATGTGGCGCCATACTAGGCTTGGCACAGGCCCTTTTGCGATTGCGGCTTAGAACCACCATGCCTTCTTCATCTCTTGGAGATGAACCGCGCATAGCCATAGCCGTAGGCGTAGACTCAGACAAGGGTGCTGCCGTCACGGTAGAGGCACTGGCTGCGCTCGCGGAGTTAGAATTGTGCGTCACAGCGGTCAGGACCCCAAGTATCACGGGATCATACTGGTCCCGTTGTAGAACGCTTTCGAGAAGAGAGCCAACCGGCGTGCCCGCTGACCGGCTGGACTCACCCATGGTGGGGCCACAGGTGCCACCAGCACTCAAGGAGACTACCGACAAACCTAAAGTTGAACTGCCTGCATTCTGTCTACAGTGTCTACACTGAGTCTACCACTGAGAGTCTACACTACACACAGTGAGGTACTGGGAATACAATGGCAACCTGCAATAGCTCGCAGCTCGCACAACGGCCAGGGCTGCGGAGAAACGTGCAGCTGTGCAAACAGAGGAGCAACCGGCCTCATCCAGCACATGCTGCTACCACTGCTAATAGTTAATAACAGTTAATACTACTACTACTACCACCACTACTACTATTTGCTGCTGCTACTGCAGCTACTACTACTATTACTACTACTAGTTACCCTGCAGTGCTGTCGTTGACGTGCCNNGTGCCAAGTGGGTGACAAAACTACTAGTTACTAGTTACTAGTTACTAGTTACTAGTTACTAGTTACTAGTTACTAGTTACTAGTTACTAGTTACTAGTACTACTACTAGTTACTAGTTACTAGTTACTAGTTACTAGTTACTAGTTACTAGTTACTAGTATTACTACTACTACTACTACTACTACTACTACTACTACTACTATGTCAAGAAGGCACTAAGTTAAGGCCCTGGCATTCGCAATGGTGTGCGTTCCGGGTCTTTGTCATTCTTTGTCATTGGCATGTCGAAGCCTTCAACCTGTTCCATGACCCATACCTTCGGCTGGAAGCGCTTGGACCACCGCAACAATGATGTCATTGTTGTGTTGAACTCGGCATGCTCCGCAATACCACCCTGGAAACGGTCGGGACGTTGAACAGAGAAGGGGTGGCAAGGGCTGCCAGTGATTGCAAAGTCCAGCCCCTGAGAGCCAACAGAACAAGCGTCACAGCCTGCACTGGAAGGATGATTTATGCAAGCTTTGCCTTCGTACTGGTCTTCTATGTCTGCAAACCAGTGCAGTGGGACATGTTCTGGGTAGTTGGCCTCCACAAATGCTCTGCACTTCAAGCTCGGGTCCGATGCACTCAGCACCACGAACGGTATGCCAAGTGCCTGGCAAGCAGTGCAGGCTGAGTTTCGAGTGTTAGCCAAGTAGCCATTCCACAAAGCATGCGCTATAATCATAACACGTCACTATAACCCTTAGATTCTTTAGATTTAGATGATGACCTTCGTAGCCTCCCCCTAAGCCCTAGGCCCTAGGCCCTAAGCCCTATAGGCCCTAAACCCTAAACCCCGCCTAGCCTAGCGACCTAGCAGGACCGTCTCTTGCGCAGGCAACAGGAAATCGGCTGGGACGAAGAAAATCTAAAAACACACTTGCGGTACCTGACCATAACCTAGGACGACCTAGCACTCAGGAGAATGTGCAGAGTGTAGAGTGTAGAGTCTAGAGCCTAAAGTCCTAAAGTATACTGTAGGTATCCTGAATCGTCAAGCAGCTGCAACAACCCCGACTCTAGACTCTAGTGACTCAATCACACAGCGAAGCACAGGTGCCTTGAAGACGGCAATCTCCGCCGCTGCACCCGTGCATCCAGAAAGAACTGTAACAGGTCTGTTGTGATCAGCACGTGACTTTGTGAGTGTACTGTGCTTCCTCAGTAGCTTAGCCCACCAAATCGACACAGTACCTAAGCCTTGAACCTGGTTCTGCTGATCTTCGGAAGAGTCGGACGGTGTGCGGATGGCATCCGCACTCTCGGTTCGCTGGCTCAGCAACTGCTCCTCTCCCAGAAGCTCATCGCACAAACCTTCTAGTGAAGGATGCCAGCCCTCCATCTTTGTATGGTGGGCCTTGGGCCCAAGCTGCCATATCAGCACGTTGGTCGTGATATTGATATGAGATATCGTCTAGTCTAAAGGTATAGTATAGTTAGTATAGTGGGTCCTCGGTGTTTCTCTACCTGGACCTCGATGCTGGTTCTCTCAACGTAAGCGCCGCTAGCTGCTACTGCTAGCTAGCTAGCTGCTAGTTCTGTAGGTTTTCAGGACTCTCTCTCCCTCCCGCTCTCTGTTTTTCTATGAATCTTTCCTGTCCGTCTGTGTGGGGAAGTTTGCTGTTATTAGAACTGCGTGCATATACATGCACATGCACCTACCTACCTACCTACCTGCCTGCCTACCTACCTACCTACCTACCTACCTGCCTACCTACCTGCCTAACTGCCCACGTAGCTAGATATATAGACACACATGCGCTGACATTCCATTCCACACCCACAGACATACATACATGCAGACAGACATACGTCATATGTGCAAATGTACATACAATGGTATGTCTTAGTCTTAGAACAGCAAACAGTCGCCATGTCGCTATGTGGGCACACAAACACATGCGCATGCTTAAACAACTGCCAGTCTGAGTCGAGTGCCCGCCCCGGTCCTGTTGCTTACGTTGCTCACCTAGATTCACAGATTTGTTGTGTTCACAGATTGCTTCACAGATGTTTTCACAGATTCTTTGTCGTCACAGATTGTTTCACAAATGTTT